TGTCCAGGTGTCCCTGTGATGGACTGGAGACCTGTCCAGGTGTCCCTCACCTCTTGCACAGTGATGGCTGGGTATGGACACCAGTGACCCCCCGCAACCCAAAAAGCAAGAAACAGGTAAAGATGATGGATGGATGGATGGATGGATGGATGGATGGATGGATGGATGGATGGATGGATGGATGGATGGATGGATGGATGGATGGATGGATGTTTTAAATTATTGTGATTGAATTAATTGTGTGGAAAAAAAGGGGCAGATATAATAAGATTTTTTTTCTTCTGCTGCCTTTCATTTTAAATCTCTTGTATTTTTTATTTTGTTTTGAAATTGTTTTGTATTTTTTTAAATTAATAAACTTCATACCATGCCATGTTTTAGTCCAACAGCAATCCACTTTGGTCTTGGCTGTACGTTGTCTTGGCAGAATTAAACTTTATTTCTGCAAATTTAAGTAATTTTATAAATCCGTCTACAACATGTAATTATTTCAAACCGCTCCACGGAGACTTAGTTCGAACTGTCTGAACTTTTCCTCTAAAAACAACAGAGTAAAACTGTGTAGATCCATTTCTGTCCAACAAAACAGTTCAGACTTTTTGAGGCATGAACTCCACAAGACTCCTAATCCATCAAGCATCAAGAAGTTAGCAGGAGACCATGTAATCGTTTAAGATCAGTGGTTTGATGGGGGGTATCATTACTTACTTTTAGGAGGCAAGTCAAAACCTTGAACTCGTCTTCAAGTTCACTCCCTGAATCTTGTTTTTGCTCTGTGGCCGAGGGCAGTTTTCAGAAGGATGGACGCTGCCGTCAGGAAGCACTGCAGCCACAAACCGGTGGTATTTATGTACGTGTCAGAAAAGCATTCACACAGATGCCACGATCCAAGGTTTCCCAGCAGAAAGTTATGAGCACCACCCTGCCTGGGCTTGTATTCCTCTCGTGGTTCGTACTGCGGCCGTCTGTCAAATAAATGAAGCACACAGCTTCTGCATGACGCTGGGAAGAAGCAAAGACGATTGATCGCACGGGGCTCCTTTTATCTGCTCCTCCATAGTCCAGCTCTGATGTCATTGCACACGTTTTTATTAACGAACAAGGGTCAGCACGAACAATCTGCTCCACAATCACAACACGCAGCCAAACACTTTTTATTGTTACACATTTCCATCATCACGACGAGGGACGCTCTGCGTGTTTTATTTGTATTGAAATTTAAAACTTTAAACAAAGTTACTATATAAAGAAATGTTTTATTCTTTGTCTTTTCAGGCAGGATTCCTTTTGTTTGTGCTCACAGTCCGTTCTGTTTGTATTCCTTCCTCCTCGACACGTCGACATGTTTTGTCTGGCCATCGGTGAAACGTTCTGCTCATAAATATTCATCCAAAACTCCTAAAACGCTCTCTGCTCAAACTTCACCTTGTGTTTTGCAGCCAATGAAAATGCAAAGCCTTATTTTTAGATATTTATATTTATTCAGTTTTTCTATTTATTGTAAAGTTATTTTGATTTTTTGATCATGTTCAGGCTGCTGTTTAATACACCGTATTATTTTACATTATTAGTGTTTAGCATATATCTTAGATCCTTGTTACTGTTTCTTTTTATACTTTATATTTTTGCTGTTTTTGGATGAAACTGGGACTTCGAGTACACAATTTCATTCCACCTCAGGTACCACATGTGATGCAAATGACCATAAAGAAGTTGAACCTTGATTTCAGTCTTACTTTACATAAATTCATATTTTGTATTCAGGCTTTTGTTTTATTTTTCATACATTATTGCCGTTTAACTACTTCTGCATTTTTTTTTTTTTTGCCATTTATACGTCAAAAAATTCTGCTTGTTCAGAATATGTGTGCTGATTTTTAGTTTTTGTAGCTTTTTTCACTTTGTGTAAATTTGTGTATGAGTAAATTTAAAATAAAAAACTAATTCCCCCAAAATATTTTGAGATCATGATTCAGTTTCAGCTACTGTCTACCTGCTTTTCTCCTTTAGCTAGACTTTTGCTTATTTTAGTTGGCATTTATTAGTTTTGCGTCGTTTTTTTTAAAAAAAACTTGTGCCACTTTTAGCACAAAATTTATCTGCTTTATGCTACTTTAGCTTCTAACAATTATTGTGCTATCTGCTATGAGGCAGCCTTTAGCTACTTTTAGGTTTAACCTTGTTTTATTTCTTTTTGCTTCTTTTAGCTCGTGTTTTGCTTCTGTTACCTTTTAATTAGCTTCTCCTACTTTTACTTTTAAGCTAATGATTTGATACTCTTTTAGCTCGTGTTTTGCTCTCTTTGGATTTAAGTTAGCGTTTACTGATTTTACATTTTCTAAAGTGTTCGGCTTCTTTTGGTTTTTATGCAGGTTTCATCTTTTTCAGCATTTTCACAGAATTTATCTTTTCTCAAGTGACCTTTATAAAACCAGGACAATAATCCAAATGTTTGTTTAGCATTTAATTTATAAAATTAAAACCTGCATGTCTTGTAGGGAGTGAACTTTATTATCTCAATCTGTCAGCAGTAGCTTGAAATACTGAAGCTGTGCAACGAAATGTCGTCATTTTTATATATTTTTTTAATTGTTACCTTCCCTATGCTGCAGGGTACTCATGTATTCTCTTAATGAAATTATTACCACATGATACCAATGACACTTTATATTAAATTGAACTTACAGCTAATTAGGAAATTTGATTTCAAAATGTAACGTCGTTATCCATGACTTGCAGGGAAATAGGAAACGGCTTCTTTTGAAACGTTTGTGTTCTTTTCAGATGCCTCATTGCTTCTAGTAAAGACTGAGTTTCTTTATTCAAACTGTTTTTATTATTTAGTTGAATCTGTTTTGAGGTAACTCATTGTGAGCTAGTTGTTTGATCATGAAGTAAAAACTCCCCATGAACCTCCGACCTGCACACCTTCGTATTTCTGCACAAAGAGTCAGCAGAAGTGATGCACTGTCAGGAAAAAGGCCGACGTCTCAGCCTGTTTATATCTTTTCAGAGGCCGACGTCGTTGTTGCGAGTCTTGTACGCTCAGAATGGTTTTGCTTCCCTTTCGCCCACTTTTTGTTCCGCACTTTTTGGATTCTTTCCCTTCTGACTAAAACGCAGTTGTGTAGTTGAAAGTGGGGTCAAGTGTTGAATGTAGTGCAGGCAGTTTAAAAACTGACACCGGGGTTTTACAAAGTCTGGACATGAAGCGAGTCCTGGAACAGAAACGACTCACTGGTAAACTAAAGAACTGTGCTCTCATTCTGCTTCAAACCCATTTAGTTATTCAAAATGATCGCACATTGGATTTTGATTTGTTCATTAAGGTTTTATTATAACTGCTGTATATTTTGATAAATTAATTTCATTTTGTTCTTGCTTTGTTGGGTAAAGCCCAAAATGAGCTCCAGCTGAACCATCAAGCAGCTGATGGGAGTAAATGTCTTGCTCAAGGAGAGCTTCTCATCACTGGTGTGTTTGAAGGACAGAATTTCTGTCTCTAAATAATGAGTCACCCTTCACCCGCTAACAGGAATAAAGCATTCATCACAGTGACGTATAAACTCTACTGTTCATCCACATAGTTTAAAAGTTGTTTTCTGCCCAACCTCACAGGCAGCTCATGATACGACCCAGACACATATTCATCTTATTTATCTTCCTGTGCTTCTAGAGACACCGGGGAGGGGAGAGGACGGTCAGCCCGACTCGTCCTTCTCAGACTCATCGCTGTTCGCTCACTGGGGTCAGGAGCTCAGTCCAGACAACCGGAGAGTGGCCCTCAAAATGTTCCAGTACTACGGATATAATGCCTACCTCAGTGATCGTCTCTCTTTAAGGCGTCCCATCCCCGACCTCAGGCCTGACGGGTAAGACAGAACAAGTGCTTTACTGACCACAACAATGGACTCACCTGTGTTTGGGTAAAATAACACGTGCTGCTGCCTTTAAAAGCAAGTTGTGGTTTATTTGTGGCATAAAATAAATATTGTTTTTATTTTTTATTTATTGCCATTTTGTTAGATGCTCAGCATCAGGTAGGCCTGAACAAACCATGCTGGATAACAGGCAGCTGAAAGTTATGTGTTAAAACCACACTTCCTGGGATAAAGGTACATTTCATGACAGGAGTGCTTTTTATGGCACCACACCAGCAAACCCCAAAATATTTAGAAATAGGTTTTGCAAAATTAAAAAGAAAATAAATAGTTAAGACATTCTTTTTTTGTTATAAGTCTGGGTGAAGGATAAAAAGTTTTAATTCTTGTGCTTTTTGGCGCTCTATAAATAAATTGAACTGAACTGTTTCTAACATTGTGAAACACACTAGTGTAAAAGTTGGACCAGATTTCTTCAAACATTGTAGTTTTGCTTCGTAAAATCTGGACAGTTGTAACGTTCACCAGTGATGAATTGTTATAATTATAAGGCAATTAAAACAAACAAAAATAAGCTTTATATGTGAGCCGCTAGTTGTCCTGGTTACTAAAGATCAACACCGAATTCAGCCACTGAAAAGCTATATCAGCTGAACCCTGGATACTTTGTTCGGCTGCTCCCTTCTTCAGGCGTCACCACAGCGAAGTAACTTGCACAAAGACTTGCAAATTGTTTTTATGCTGGATGTCCTTCCTGAAGCAACCACAGACCCCCGAGCTACGACAGCCCTCTGAGTGGAGCAGAGAGCTGCCGTCTAGGGCGTCCGGAGGAGCAGATGGTGGGGGTTAGGGCCTTGCTCAAGGGCCCAGAGTGGGGCAAATGAGGGTGGAAGCAGGTGTTTCACCTTTCATTTTGATGTTTTCAGTACGAGGAGTTGAACCGACAACCTTCCAATCACGAGCCCACCATATATAGATGCCAAATATTTAATTTAACTCTTCAGAGTTGAATTTTTTAAACCATAGTTCAACATTTTTCAGGTATTCCTTTTCCTGTTAAACTTCAATTCACTGAAACTATGTAAAAACTACCAGTGTTACATATTTTGGACTATATTCATTTTTTGTAAAAAACATTTACTCCATAATTCAAACACAGTTTTGAAAGCAGTTAGTTTTTGGCATGCTTGTCACAAGGGATGGTGTATGAAAAGGAAAACAAAGCAAAGAAGGGTCATGTCATGTCGAGCCGTAATGGAAAAATACTGTTAGAAGTCCTGCCTCTCTAACAGGGCCGTTAACAGGATGTAAAATACATCACTGGTCTTTTGTTCAGTCCCTGGTTCCTGCAGTGGAAATAAAGGTTGTTATTGAAAATACCCTCCAGAATTACATTGTCCTCGGAAAAAAAGAGCACATTTCTGTAGCCTTTGAATATGTCCCACACATAAAGCACAGCATTCATACAAAGTGGAAGCTGTTGACGTTACACCACTGGCTCTGATCCAGGTTTCCACCTCAGCATACAGACGTGCCCACTTCACCAAATCTACAGGAGCAGCTGAAGGAAAATCCTCATGTGAAAGTTTACAAAGCTCAAAAGTGTTTAGGGTGTTTCCTCCTCTGCACTAAACTCCCTACAGACCATTTAGTCCCACTAATAGTGGCCCTCGAACCTCACATGAAACTGCAGAGGATAAATTTATCACACATTTAACGTTTCAGCTTCACATCTGAATAAAAGGTTAAGATTAGGGTTGAAAAGGTCCAGGTGAGTGATGTAGCACAAGTCTTGAGGTAGATCGTTCCACAAAATGGTAGCAGCAATCAAAAACCTCTGGTCACTTCAATTGTTGTATTTAGACTTTGAGACAAATAGTAAAAATGTATTAGATGAACTTAAGGGCCTTTCATACTCACAGAAAGCTACTAGATTGGCTAAATAATGTGGGGCAAGACAGTTAAGAGCATTAAAAGTCAACAGTAAAGGTTTAAAATCAATTTGATTTTAAAACAGCTTAACTTTTGGTTAGAAAATGTAAATGGAAAAAGCTGGATTTGACTACAGAGGCTAAATATTTATCAAACTTGAAATCCTTGTCAGAAGTGACCCCCAAGTTTTTAAGTGTGGATCTAAACTTGGATATCAGAGCACCAAAGTTACAAGGATCATCATTATCAAAAAACTTACAATCTGTTTTTCTTTCATTTAAAAACAGAATATTTTGGGTAAGCCACTGTTTAATCTTGGCAATACAGAAAATGTAAAAGTTACTACTTCTAGGCTTCATGGACAAATACTATATCTGAAAGTCGTCTGTGTAACAGTGAAAAGAAAAGAGGTGCCTAAATGTAACTGATCAAAGTGGCAACAAATAGAGAAGAGGAGAGGACTAAGAATAGAGCCTTGCAGCACACCAAAAAAAAAAAAAAATCAGTACAGGAAGATGCTGTTAAGTAGGAGATGAACCATTTGAGTGCTAGATTAAATGCTTTACAGTAAACACTGATTATTGTTGTAATTATTAAGGATGTTAAAGACCATTGTCTCTGCAACTTAACACTGTTGGGAGAAATTATTTATGCAATAAGCTGTTACACCAGGCTTATTTTTATTTTCCATTTTCTGACCTCTATTTCTAGCATAAAACATTTGTACTAACTGTTAAATGTTTAAAGCATTTGCTGGTTATAAACAAAAGCACGGAACATACTTTAAGAGCTTGATCATTTTATGCAAAATGCAAGAATTTAAAACTTTATTTTTTCATTAGCCATGTGTCTTAAGAGGACTTTTTTTCTATCTCCGCAGGTGCAGAAATGTTTCTTATCCCCTGAACCTTCCTCAAGTGAGCATTGTGTTCATTTTTGTGAATGAAGCCTTGTCTGTCATCCTGCGGTCCATAAACTCTGCCATCAACAGGACGCCTTCCCACCTTCTTAAAGAGATAATCCTGGTAGACGACAACAGCAATAACAGTAAGAAGCATCATTTTATACAACAACTTACAGCTGACACCTAAACCCTTCCCTCAAATTGTTATTTTCCTGTTGTAGCTGAGCCTAAAATCCAGGCATGGCAGGCTTTCAAAGCTTTGGTTTTATCAACATGTTGAGAGCAAAGTGCATTCGTCTGTGGCGGTAGAGATATTCTGAATTCTTCAATACTTTTCTATAAGCTGCTATGAGATAACTGAGTGTTTATACTTAGTTACCCAACCAGCCCATATTTCCAAAGCCAAGGGAAACAGCATCTGATAAGAAGCACACTTATCAGTGCATCCACTGGGCTGTGGGTTTACACTGGGAGATAGCAGAAAGTCACAGCTTCTTCTTGCTTCTTTTTATTGGTTTGGGAAACTTGATACAGCCCACAATGAACAAGACTAATAGTTTTTCCAAATGCATGGCTAATAAATCATTAACAGACATTATTTGTATAATATTTAAGTTATACACTAGAAAAATCTCTAAATTTAAGCTAGTTTTTTTTTTTTACAATATTTTAGACTCAACTGACATATCTGTCAGTTTTTGTAACAAAGTATAATAGTAAAATATATCAAATAATTATGTCCCTTTTGGAAAAATGCAGTTTTATATTATTACTATAACATTATTTAGAATAAAAGATGTTGAACCCATACGTTATATGTGGTGCTGCACATGAACTTATTTAAGTTACTCTTGAATGATTGTTGGCAAGAGGCATTTTCTGGTCCTATCACAAAACATGTAGTGAAAGAGACATGTCTAACTTCTATACAGAGACACGTGTTTAACTTCTATTCAGAGACACGTGTTTAACTTCTATACAGAGACAGACATGTATCTAACTTCTATACA